ATTGACCACTCTGGGCGGCTAACAACAAATAAAGATAAAACAATTTAAAAAATAACAATAATACAGTATACAGCATCGGTAATCAATGGCTCAAGACGGAAAAGAAAAAAGAAAAGATAAATCAAACAGTGGCTGGAGTGGCTATATTGTGTTTGTGTGTGTGCATGTGGGAGCGAGACATCCTCCCTCTCTCTTCTTTCCGGACTGATGACCTCCATGGGTGTCAGTTGGGTGCTTTCTCTTTCCTCCACCATCTTACATTTCTTTATTGTTCTTAACACACAAATGTGTTGCAATGCATTGTTGCAGCGCCGGCTATGTACAGTATTACGCCAACATGCCACTATGCAGTTTTCTCCCTTGCTCTGGAAGAATTCATCCAGAGACCCTTGCAAGGCACAGATTGTGTTTCTCCAAGATCTTCAGCATCCCTACCCTGCATCATTTTCATGCTCTGTTGTGTTTATAGTACCATCACTAATTGAATTTTACTGTCACTGAGCACGTATGTGATTTTGTGCACTGCCTTGACAGGCTTCAAACCAAAGAAAAGGATATTAACATCTTTAAAAAAAACCACACAATAATATATAACTATCAGATCATAGAAAAGAGTGATCCTTGGAGACCACTGCTTCTCCCGGACTTGGCATTCTACAGGAAGAACCAGTTCTTCCAAACGTGAAGTCCTCCCCACCAGGATGGGCAAGGAGGTGCTTGCTAAAATGGGACACCTCTTTCCACACTCAGGTGGGTGGCTCAGCATCTGAGTCCTGCAAAAACAACAACAAAAACACCAATAAATTTGACAAAACACCTCTCTTACCTGTCTTCGTAGATCTCTCGTTTTCTTGGTCATCTTGTCGATCGCTATATTCAGTGGGTCTCCCTTTTCTTTCCTTCCAGTCTGTTTAAAAGACAAAAAACAAGGGGGAAGAGTTAGTTAAGAATAACAGCTTTTATGGGCATCCAAGTTGAACATCATTGGCCTGTTCCAGCTCTGACATCTCCATGAAGAGACAGAACTCTCTCACTGAGGCTGACCTGAGCACCTGCTGCTTTGTGTGGGTGGATCTCCCCCTTGTAAAAAAAATGTGTGCTCAAGAGCATATGGTGCAGATAAGTGCCTATAGTATCCTGGATCAGAGTTCACACTGAGACATGATTGAACGGGGACAAATTGTCCCAATGGCTCTAATTAGTGTTATATCTGAATATCTACTAAGCATTTAGGGATTTGCCTAACGCACATCTTTTGGGAAGTTTTCTCTCAGCTTTCCTCTTGGCTGCCCACAATCTGGGTTGCATTCATGGAAAATTCCTTTGTTGTTCTTGATCCCCACGCTGCAACTCCACCAATACAGTGGTACCTCGACTTACAACCGTCTTGACTTGCAACCAAATTGAGTTACAACCAGCTCCGGTTGCAACATTTTGCTTTGACTTGCAACCGGCGCATTGAGATATGACCGGAAAAAAGGCCTCCCTCCTTTTGTGCCCTTTTTTTTAACCTTAGAGGTCATCTTAGGTTAAAGAAAAAAGTCTCTCCCTAGTGGACGGATTAACCACTTTTGGATTAGTTCCTATGGGATTCGTTCTTACTAAAATGCTTGAGACTATACAACTAAGGTTCAATGTTATGAACAGGTCTGAAACTGGCCAGTGATTATCCAGTGCAACAGGGGTCAGGGAACACTTTTTCAACAATGATCTTGTTGCCTACTCTTTTAGGAAGTATGGAACCCTGCCTTATTCCAGGGAGGTATTCACACTCCCCTTCGTTACTCAGCCAGTCCCCGCACTTATTTTGTGAGTTAGGAAGGGCAAGAGCTGAGCATCCTTTTGAAATTCCTTTGTCCACAACCTTGAGCTGTACAGATGGTAACTTATTTATCAGCACAAGACAAGCAGATGCTAATGTTATGCCCATGGGACCTGTTACCACCTACAGTGTCCATGTCAGAGTGGATCCAAGCACATTGATCTACAAAGTGTCAAGAACATTCTTCATGAAAGACTAAGGAGGAATCTATCTTCTCTTCTAACGGACCATGCTGTAATAGCCCCTTGACCACTCAAAACAGCTGTTGGGCAACTCTGGGTATACACCATCCTGGCAGAAAAAGGACTTCTTCACTACTATCACCACCACCATCGAATGGTGGTCCTCTTAGCCCCTGTTTCATTTGATTGTCAAGCCTCCATCCTGCTCATTTCATCATAACCAGTTGCCAGTTAAACCAGGGGGGCAAAATGGCTCCATTCCCTGGGTGGTAACACTTAGGAGTGATCCTGTCTCTTCTCTCGCCAGTTCCTCAATTCCGTGAAAGAAGAATGAAGTGGTGAAGGGAACTCTGAAGGCAAATAGTGATAAAGAACGGTGGGATGAGCGTTAGAATGAGAGTTAGGTTAACTGGCTAGCTGCATCACAGATAACATTGGTTAACGGTAGAATTGTAAATCCATCCATCCAGCCTACATTATTTGCTCACTCTAGAGCCAAAGACTACAGGAAGTACAGCGGTGCCTCGCTTGACGACGTTAATCCATTCCAGCAAAATTGCTGTAGAGCGAAAATGTCGTAAAGCGAAATAAAAAAGCCCATTGAAACACACTGAAAATCATTCAATGCGTTCCAATGGGCTGAATAACTCACTGTCCAGCCAAGATCCTCCATAGGGGCAGCCATTTTCAGTGCCTGTAAAGTGAGGAATCCGTCCAAAAACACAGCGGGGAGGCATTTTGAGCAGCCGGTGGCCATTTTGAAAACCTGACGATCAGCTGTTTTGATCGTCGTAATGCGAAGAATCGGTTCCCGAAGCAGCGAACCGATCATCACAAAGTGAAAAAACCCCATTAAAACATCGTTTTGCGATCGCAACTGCAATCACAAAAACATCGTTGTGAAGCGGATTTGTCGTTCTACAGGGTAATCGTTAAGCGGGGCACGACTGTAGCTTGTGCAGCTCCCGTTCATTTCAAGGAGACTTGCTTAGCAGAAGAACCTGGCAGCTTATGCTGCCTGTCTTTATGGCATTCATTTTATTTTCAAGGCAGATGTGAAGTCCTCTTCTAAAGTACATTTTCCCCACTCTGTTGTTAAGGGGATAACTGCTGAGGGCAGCAGATTACTTTAAAACAAACCATAAAAGAATGAAGAAGGGAAGATTAAGGTGACTTAATAGATTGCAATGAAGTTTTGTGCTAATGTGTTATATCCTTGTACTGTAGCCTTTGCTCTGGAAAAGTAAAAGGGAAGAAGCAAAACCTGGCAATACTCCTCACTTTAAACGAATATTAAGAGCTTCTAATCTCCATCCCGCCAGGCAGCAGGGAAGTTAAACATGATAATAAGCAGCAAAACAGCTTGAGGACAGAAGGAAAATGTTCCTTACGACAGTAACAAGGCCCACATTGGCAGGCATTAGGTGCAGAATAAGGATGATTTCCGCTTAACACTTCTTCTTCCCCTTCCCGATGCTCAAAAAGTAAAAAAAAATAAAAAAATAAAAAAAATGCACAGTGCAGATTTGCAGAAGGAAGCTGAAAAGGAGTGGTGAAGTATTTTACCATTCCCCATCCAATTAAAACACACGTGGACCAGGAAAAGAAATAATGTTGAGCTCCTGAAATATGTCTCTCTGTGTGTGTCTGTATATCTTGCCTTTCAGGAGAAATGTGCTTCTTTAACAATTATTTTATTTCTTCCCACGTATTTGATAAACCACTGAAAGCTTTCACCCTGCTGCCTTCTATTCTTCAATGTGCTTCCTTCCCTCCCTGCTACAAGCCAGCTCTTCTGAAGTGGAAGTGCCAGCCGACACCAGAAAGGAGAGACTGCCTTTCTCTCTTCAAAATCAGTCAAGGAAGCACAGCCGTGGGTTTTCAGCAATCCACTGAACAACACCTTGTGGCAGGAGTGGGTGATTTCATACACCAAACCTAGAAATGGCCATTAAACAACAGAATGTGAAGCACTCAAATGAGTTCCCTGGTCCGTCCGTCCGTCCGTCCGTCCGTCCTCCCTCCTCC